ACCACCCTGCCCACTGGCCGAGTAAGTCCCACTGTGCTGTGGACACACAGGCTGTGGTCTCCAGCTGGCCAGGCCAGGCCCTCAGTGAGGGCCTCCTTGGGGCTCAGCTGGGAACCTTAAGCTGCCTTCCTTTATTCAGCATTCTCAGTGCCTTCCCTGCAGCATCCAACGTCCTCTCCTTCATTTCTGCATTAACCAGCACTTACTGAGCTACTGCCGTGCTCCAGAGACTCTGCCAGGCCAGGCTGTTGCAGCTCTGCGCAGAGAACTCAGTGTGAAGACGGAGATATCACCTCTCTCCTTTGTCCAGTGTGGGAACCACTCACCTCCCCTGGTCACCAGACACTTGAAATGTGACCAGTGTACCCGAGAAACTAGGTTTTTAATTCTCTTTCATGTTAATGAAGTAGCTGCACATGGCTCGTGGATGCCACAGCTCTAAAACAGAGACTCGGTTAAGCACCTGCCTTTCCCACCCCAGAGAGGGAGGGGCTGTGCATGCAGCCCCGGCCTCCCTTGACTGTACTCCCTTCCCCACAAGTGGCAGAGCTGTCATTTGCTCCTCTGAGACATTCACTGAGCACCCAACGGCCAGCTGGTCCCTTCGCCACCATGGGACACATGCAGCCCAGGAGGCTTTACTTAAGAAGCAGCAGCAGGCACAAATTCCCAGGCAGCTAAGGCCAGAACCCCACTGTGTGGGAGATGAGAACAAAGACCAAGTTCACTGCTGAGAGCCTCCCTTGGCAACAGGGAAGTGACAGACAGGTGCCCACCTGGGGCCGAGCATGCCTGAGGCTCAGGTGAGCTGCGTGCTGGATAGGGACAAGACCCCCCTTCTCCCTCCCTCCAGGCGCTACACACCCAACTCAGACATCATGGGTCTCTCGCAGCCCTGGAGGCTCCAAGGTGACCCTGGATACCACATCAATGCCTGCAGCGTGGTGACAGATGGTGGCAAGCCGCTCACAGCCTCTCCTTCATTCATGTCACTTTGGGCCACTCTTGAAGACTACAGTAAGACTGCATTCCACTTGTCCCAGAGCTGTCTTCCAGAGCTTCCTCACTGCAGAGCCCGAGGACCTCCACCACCCTGAGCCCCGCCATCCTCATCGGTAGAATGAAATGTGCGTGGGGCTTCAATGTTAGATCAGGTTAGAAATAGACAGGAATGGGCTGAGCGGCCGGTGAGAAGGAGCCACACAGAAAAGGGGAGAAAGGAACTGATGTCCAGTTTCATATGTGATTAGGGGTGGGATTGTGTTTACACCACTTTCAAGGAGGCAGAGAAACATGTGAGCCTCTGTGTAAATCAGCAGGAAACAGGACGTTTGTGCCGATGACTGCCTGTTTAACCCAAGTGTTTTGTGAGAGGTAAACTGAGGAAGTAAAACTGGTCCGGACAAAAATAGAAATCTACGGAAAGAAAGCAAAACCTGTACTTCTCTGGGAAGCTCCGGTGTTGAGAAAGGAATCATTCTGGAAGCCTAAGTGATTGAAAATCTCAGAGCGGGGAAAGACTGGTAACTTTCATGATCCAGATAGGTAAACAGAGGCCTGGCCAGGAACCCAGATCCTCCCGTGGCACCGATGAAGGAAACCTGAGGCCTCTCCAGTCACTGCCCCAGCTCTGTCCAGGCAGCTGTGTCACATGTCCCATGAACCAAGGCTTGTTGGACAATGATGGTGACATTCTGGATGACACCATTACCCATCTCTCTCCTTGCTTCCTGGCTTCCCACATGCACACTTGCCTTGTCTGGCTCTCTTGCTCCCATATTTTTTCTACTCTTCCCCCTTTCTCTCCATCTTCCCTATAAAGGACCCCATAAAGGATCCCTCCCTATATTGGGAGGGTTAGGAGGACAGAAAAGGTCTCCAGAAAACAGGAGGGACAAGCGGCAGGGGTTGTTGACATTGGCAGCTATGGCACAGAGAGGCATGGTTCAGGAGGCCTTGGATGGGGACAGTTTTCCTCCTGCACCCTGCGACCCAGATGCCTGCCATGAGCTCACAGCCAGATGTCACTACCAGAAGCCAGCAGCCCAAGGTTGTCTGCAGGAGAACCCAGCCCTGCTGGTGTGGAGTGCAAGAGTCAGCTCCATTTCAGCTCAGAGCTCTGAAGCATCGCCACCCGGAGAGCTGAGCAGCAGTGTGCAACCACTGAGGGAGCGTGAAGTGGATCCCCTCGCACTGTGTGGAGAAGCTGCCCATGGCCAAGAGACACAATGTCGACTGCCCAGCATCATCCCCAACAACCCAGGCGAGTCCCGTGGCCAAAGGTAGGGTGTGAGCAGCTGCTGTGCAGGGCACTCCAGCACCAGGCAGATTGCTTCAAGATGCACTCATTGGCTGGGCATCCTGCACGTGCCTGTCATCCCAGTGCTCCAGAGGCTGAGGCACAAGCCAATGTGGCAACTCAGGGACTTAGCGAGACCCTGTCTGACAATTTGTAAAAGAAATTTAAAAAGGAGATAGACATGTAGCTTACTGCAAGGTCCTTGGGTTCAATCCCCAATGCTATGAGAAAGAGAGATGGAGACAGAGACAGTGAGAGAGACGGGAGCAGCCAATGGCATCTCCACCCAGAGTGGCATTATCCGGACCATCATGGTAACAATGCAGTGACCCAGGATAGAAGCACCCAAGAGGTGGCTGGTGTGGAAGCTGGACTTGAGCACAAAGTGTGGATGCAGCTCCTGCCCAGCACATAAGAAAGTCCACAGGGAAGCAGTCCCAGAAATCCTCTAAAAACTTCCCAAGTGCTGTGTGGACCACTGTTTATTTCCTTCAGCTTAGCACAGCTGTCAGTCATTCTTCTTTTGCTTATGCTGTTCCTATGAGAGGGGACACTGCTGTCAGGTGACCTGTCACCCAGCATCTCCTGGCTGGCAGAGCCCTTGATTTCATTCTTCTCTTCATGCCCAGATGAGAACGTTTACATCCAGATGGAAGAAGGGGTTCTGTCCTGGTTGGTCACAAGGTAAAGGAAAAGGGACATCCCCACACTCGGGGTGCTCTGTCTTGTAGCATCCTCCAGGGTCTCTTATGACACAATGCAACATTCAAGCAATGAGAGAGCGGTCAGCAGTGTGCTCTCCCTTGTGGGAGTGCCAGCCACCCACTTGTCTTAGAAGCAGTGCTATTAAAAAGAGTTCACTTCTAGAACCCTAAAGAGTAGCATCTTTGCTGGATAACTGGTCACCCAAGCAGTAATAAGACAGCAGAGGTGACTTCTTATCATCAGTGTTACTCAGTAGCTACCACCATGCACTGAGTACCTAGTTGATAGAGGTGGTACCGGTTACCCATCATGGGTCTGAGTACATGGCCCAGGCTCTGGGGCTCCCCATACAGCTGTGCACTGGCGTCTGGCTGCCTCCTCCTTTCCAGTTCCCTTCTGCCTATGCGCAGGGCTGGTTGATCTCTGTGGGCACCTCAGCTTCACATCTGCCAGTGCCTTCCTCACATGGCTGGCCATTGGCCACAACTTTGCTAACATTCCAACTTGATTGCATCATTCAGGGCTTGGAAGACTCCAAATGGCTCTGTATGTCCCACATACGCCCAGAGCTTCAGATGTCAGCTGTATTTTATCAGAGGCTCTGGGACCCTTGTCTAGGCATTCATCACCTGTGGGTTAAGTGTAGGTACTTGGGAATCCTGATGAGCAGGGTAAGTGGATCTAAGGTGGTGTCACTGACACATCCGACTTGGACCACAGATCCTGGGGTGAAAGGTCATACCTTTCCCTCTGAGCCTCCTGCTTACACTAGCTCCTGCCCCACAGAACCCACAAGAACCAAATGACTTTTTCTCATTCCCAGTCCTGAGCTGAGCCAGTCCAGGGCTCCAGTATCCGCATGGCCCCAGTGAGCAGGGAGGTTACACGGCACATTTTAGACACGTGAGGTGTTTGCCCACCGTGCTCTCGACTCTCTCTTTTCTCCCTTATTCATTGCAGCATATGTAGAATTTCCAGAAAGAAAAAAATAAGACTACATTGGCAGCAAAGCTTTGGAAAATTGCCCTTTCTCAAGGAAGTTTTGTTAGCTGATGAGGTAAAAGTCTTACTTAAATTTGGACCAATTGCCAGGCTTGGTAGCTCACACCTGTAATCCCAGCAGTCGGGAGGCTGAGGCAGAAGGATTGTTTTGAGTTCAAGATCAGCCTAAGCTACAAAGTGAGCTCAAGGCCAGCCTGAACTACACAGCAAGACCCTGTCTCAAAAAAAAAAAAAGACCAAACAAAATTTTGGACCAATTTCAGCCTGACTTAGTGGTAACCGCCAATCACACGTAGGTCATCATCTAGAATTCTAGGGATGGACCCTGATACTATCCAGGGCTCTCTGCACAACTTCCTCTTGTGAATAACAGCAAGTACATACAGGACTTCTCTTCTTTCAGTAGATTACCATGTCTACAGGTATACTTTTACCTGCAGAGTCTACAAATCCAAAACTCATTCACAACCTAGCACACTTTTATCATTGATGTGAATCCTAAAACTTAAAAGAGCTTGCATAAAATCAGTACTGCTTTAAACATACATCACACACGCTGTGTATCTGGTAAAATGTTGAGTAAATTGAATTTGTGTTGTCAACTGCATGCTACCAGCTCACGCAAATGTCTCATGCACTATGCTCAGGAATCTTCCTGGCACCTCCATGTCACTTGGAACCAAGTAAGGAACTGGGAGTAATGCGGAACTGGGAGACTCAGAGTAAATGTTAATGGCAGCAGACAATGAGAACTGTTGTTTCTGTGGAGTGCAGTTTCGTTAAGAGAATTTGGCACTTGGAGGCGTGTGTCTGCTCAGCCCTGTCCGGCATCTCCATCGGTGTAGTTCACGCCCAACCTTAGCTATCCTCGTCAGAATCTCCTGTTGGTCTAACCTTTAAAGACAATAACTCAAGTCTCTCTCTCTCTCTCTCTCTCTCTCTCTATCTATCTATCTATCTACCTGTTTCTTTCTCTTTCTCTATTTTTTATCAGTGTATATGGTTGTCCCTTGGCTAAAAAAAGAAAAACACAAGATAAGCAGCCCCAAGAACCTGCCCCCAAGCGCAAACCATTCGCGGTGAAAGCAGACAGCTCCTCGGTGGACGAGTGCTATGAGAGCGATGGGACAGAAGACATGGACGACAAGGAGGAGGATGAGGAGGAGGAGTTCTCCGAGGACAACGAGGAGCAAGGGGACGAGGATGACGAAGATGAGGAGGTGGACCGGGAGGAGGAGGAGGAGATCGAAGAGGAGGACGACGACGACGATGATGAAGATGGAGAGGATGTGGAGGAGGAAGAGGAAGAGGAGGAGGAAGATGAGGAAGAGGAAGAGGAGGAGGAGGAAAACGGTAATCTTTAAAATACTAGCAAAGTGTCTCGTGGGGACTTGGGCCCAGTTTTTGGTGTGAATTCCGTGGTGTTAACAATCCCTGATGCCCCAGCATCGCTATAAGCACAAATGGGTTTGATCACTCCTGAAAGGACAATATGCTTAAAAGAATTTCCCTTTGTCTTGGAAGATGTCTTTAAATTATCTTCTAGGCTTTAAATTTTGTTTTTGGTCAAATTCTTCTCTGGTTTGGTGGTCACAGCAATTTGTTGAGATATTTATGGTGTACAGAAAAGATTAGCTCAGCAAAACTGAGCAAGAAAAGTCATTTAGCATTCTTGGTCATTAGTTTGCCACTCTCTTGAAAGTTCTATGCCAGAGATGCTGTTACTGACCCAAGGGGGGCTGTGGGGTGTCCTTAGTCCACATGTCTCCCAAGCAGAGGGTCCTCGGGCAGTGGCTATTACATGGACCTTGTCAGTTGCACAGTGTGACATGGTGGCTGTCCTGTGAAAAGTACACGTGGAAATGCAGTGGAGTGGAAATAGTCATGTGCTTCCTGCTGTGCAGGACTGGGGACATGTCACAGTGCACTTGAGGTAACCCTCACCTTCCATCCAGCTTTCTGTTAGGATAAAACTCAAAAACACAACTTGGAAATGCCCTTTCTGGAAGGTCATTTCTTTTCAAACAAGAGTGTCTTTTTAAGAGCCTATAGAGACATGGATGGCTCATAGCTTGCGTCCTAGGTATACGCCAAAAAAGACGACAGTGTGGCAACATGACAATGTGTGTTCTTACCCTTCCTCCTTGAGCTCAGAGCTCTTCAAGGATCTTCAGTCCAAGAAAGTGAACTTCACAACACACAGACCATCATTTGAGCCAGTGGAGAGAGAGCCTTGGATAATGTAGCTGCCGGTCCCATGTGTAGACAGACCAGGGCTGTTTACTACTCAGACATCAAGACTACCTTGTAAGGAAGCCAGGATTTTATGCCACAGTACTAAACTGTTTCAGTGGCTTAAAGTTCTTACAAAAACAATTTCCCACTTACATTTACAACCATAGGCAAATATACATATGCAGCTAGACATATACATACATGTAAATTGCATAAATTAAGACATTCCCCCAATTTTTAACAGTGCACATTTGTGGTACACAATAATCACATTTATTTGGGGGAGTTATTTCTTATCTATCACATCTTGATTGTTTTTATTCCTTTTTTCCCCCAGACCCTCCCCTTTGTCTGCTTTCCCAAAGCCTTTTCCCCACCTTCAGAAACGCTTATTTGCACATATGCTACCATCTCCTCTTTCGTTTGCTCCTTAAATTATTTACAGTTTGGGCTTCTCATAGGAGAGAAACTATGTCACATACAGCCTTCTGTGTCTGATATCCACAGCTTTCCTGACTTGGTGCTGTAAAATGTCACATGGAGAAGCCAACAAAGAGCACAAGATAATAGCACAGAGCACAGGTGCCAACAGAGTTGCACTGACTCTGCCTACCCCACTGTCAGGCACTGACTCTGCCTACCCCACTGGGGACGAAATGCACCACTGCCATTAATGAGACGCTAGGAATTAAAAGCCGTACTGTGTAATGAAACGTAGGGAGAGGGGGAGAGCAGACTGACCAAGGGAATTATTTGCCAACACCCTATCAGATCCACGTAGTTTGAGGTGGTGTCATTGATTGAGATCCATGCATGATTTGTATGTTGGCCATGGCTTATTATTAAGAAGATATAAAATGCTCCTTTTAAAAACGTTCATGCTGTTTGGAAAGCAGTAGACATTAACATTTCAAATTATGAATATCTTTTGTGTGCTGTGGATTGAGGTAGGAGGTTTGAAATATTTGTCATTTAACCAAATATCTTAACCAAATCTCATTTCTACTCTTCCTAGAGTTAAATGTTTCAATCTGAGTTTATTTAGGATGATAGTTCAAGTAATCTACTTTGCAACATGCAAAGTGGCACATTTGGAAAATTGCCTTACTGAAAGAGCATTAGAAATATCACTGTCCAAGGTTGGTTTTTGTGACTTGAACATTTGGAACATGATTGTTTTAAAAAGCCAGATAGCATCTCAATGCCTGAGACATTTTTGCTGAATTTATTCAAGCAAGGTCATCAGGCCTGGGTGCATGAGCAGATCATCAGGTGATTGCATGTTTAGGATGCAGGCCCTAGGGTTGCTAATTTCCTGAGCACAGCTGGCATGGTAACCGCGCCCAGGCATCATCAGATGAGCCTGATGTCTCAGAAAGTGAACTCCTAGGAGAGGATAGCAGGATCCATCCTAAGCTATCGATACTGGGTTCCGATTTGTAGCATTATCTGCTCCCCAGTTAGGCAAAGCACACAATCATCCATTACCTGGACTTTAAATAAGTCCCCAGATAACTGGAGCTCAGTGCAGCCCCAAGGAGCTGCTGTAGAGTAGACAAGCAGCTTCCAACAGAAGACAGAAGCTTCACCTTGCTGGGAGCTCACCCCTCACAGGAAGCCTGGTGCTTTTTCCTTTCAGAGGGCCTCTCCTGTGAGCACCAAACCAAGGAGCCATGGAGTCACTAGTAGTGCCTCATCGGGGACACTCCCCTGTGACTTTCACTGCCATGAGTTCTCTATAGGGAATACCAGAGGCTTGTTTGATTCCCAGACCAGCCAGCTGCTTCCTGGAGACAGTGGCACAGGGACAACCTTTCTGACACAGATAGAAGTCTCCACGGAGGCGTCCCATGAGCGGATGCTGCGAGACACCATTTACCAACATTGCACGTCGCAATTCCCAGCAGATCATTCTCCCCGTATTTCATAGCCCACGAGTGTCAGGAATCTGCAGAAAGATTCTAGATCAAAAGAGCCAGAGAGCTTTGTTCATCTGTCCGTCATTTTTCATGAACACAGTCCTAGTGATGTTTTATTAAAATAAGGCTTTGAACAGCACCAGCCTGCCAGCCTCCTGCTCCCCTACCCTCCTCACTAAGCATATCATAGTTTACCTTCCTGGAACAGTTCATGCCACTGTCACTGTCAACAAAGGAACACCTGTACCGTGGTAGGGACACCTTCAATGTGGGGATCCCAGGAAGAGCAAGGATGCTGGATAGTGAGCAGGAGAGATACTTTCTTGGGTATGATCACCATGGTGAGGTGATCCATCATGCTTCTTGGGGATGTCACAGCCCAGCCTGCCCAGCATGAGCAGCAGGCCCCATTCCTAACACACACAGGAACAGTGACCTAAAGTTAACCAGGGGACATCTGCAGAGGGTTCCAGATGTGACATAGACATACCTGCTCCATGGTGCAGGTGACCACCAAGTGCAGAGCGATCAGGGCCATGAAAGGGGCCCAAGCCAGGGTTTCCACTGACTGTCACCAGCAGGTGCAAAGTCTCAGGTTATTTATACTAATCGGATGTCAGTATTTATGCAGCTGGGGAAGCATTTTCCACCTTGATTATAAATTGAAATGTGGAGTTTATCAAGAGATTCTGTTTTAGACAAAACAAATTTATACAAATCACTGGATTGTTACAATAAGAGCCCACGGGATATAGAAAGCATATTATTTATAACTTGAAAATTACATAATTATTTTAAATCCAAGGCTCCTCCAGTGCTGCAGTGAGACATAAACCAAAGTCTACCAATGATGTGCATCTCCTATGAGTGTCTTTCTGGGCAGCACTGGGCTGGGTCCTTACAGTGATTACATAGAGATAAGTCGGGTAGAAACTCTCTTCCTCTCCTTGTACTAATTAGAGACTGAAGCTCATTAAGATTAAGTTATTTTCTGTAAGTGGTGGCCGTGTAGTCACTCTGTTGATGTTTTTCTTATTACAGATTTTATATGCTTTTTATCACTTTCTACTGAACAACAGCAGAGAGCATCTGAGTAGCCCAACTCAGATTGCATCAAGTTCATTTTTAACCAGTTGTCTCATATTTATTACACAGTTGACCCATCCAAGGCTAGCCTCATGTGTGAAGAACTTATTTTCAAAATACATAGTAATGGTCCAATTCCACATTTTTTAACTAAAAAGACCCTTATCCTGAAGATCAGTAAGTTACAGTGGTTATAGATTTTTTTTTAATCAGATTTTGTTCATATTATGACAAATGTCCTTTGGGATTCCCATTTTTTGATAAATATGGATTAAGCAAATACAAAGCCTGGTGAGTTGTGGTTTATTTTCCCACTCCAGTTCACCAAAATGTCATTTAGAAAGATGTGTATATGCACATATGTATTTGTGTATCTATACTGCATATGTACGGTTCTTTGGAGCAGGCATCTCATCTCCCCGTAGCTGGGGATGAAAATTCTAAAAGGAAAGCAGAGACTAAGGAAGGTGCCTGTGCACTGCCCTTTACAGCACATAGCTGATTTTTCAGAAGTTCTGCTTCCAAAACCCCGGGGTGGACCTGCAGAGCCCTTTCCCGTCTACCTCTGTGCAGTCCCGGGAGTGCCTTGGACAGGTAGATTTTGTGAGACAGCCAGCCAATGGCCATGGGGATTTGTGAGGTGCACGGCAGACACTGCCTTTTTGGGGTCCCCAGAGCAACTTGTCCATATCAATGGGTGTGTACAGTGGCTCCCCGGCCTGTACACTCTGGAGAGGAGTAAGCTGTAGGGGACAGTGATAAATGGTCATGCCAAGAATCTCAGAGGTGCTGTGTGATTTCTGGAGGCCAGGCAAAGCAGCAGGCCAGAGGCAGAACCGCATTGTGGGTGCAGAGCCAACAGAGGGGGGCTGTTCTTGTTGGATGAGTAACCACGACTCTCTTTGGTCTGTTGTTGAAATAACTGGGATGGCCAGTGATTGGCACCCACTGATTCTGATTTGGGGCTCTGTTCCCTCGGCTGCACCGTGAAGCCATCCTATGCCTGAGACTGTCTTCCAATGGGGCGTTTCTGGGGTGGTTAAGGCTGGTAAAATTTCCTAGAGTCTACTTCCTTCACACAGAGGATGCATGAGACTCTAAGTCGCTAGAGCA